GAGCAAAAGGTGCTTATTACACTGTTGTGTTCAAAAACAGTATTAGCACTGAATAGATTTTTTAAAAAAAAGCTATTGAAAATACATGTGCAGACTTCATAAATGATGCAATCTAGGGGGTGCTCTTGACGCGTATCTAAAGAAAAACAAGGATACCATAGACAGGGATGAACGGTTGCTCATGACGATGGGAGCGGCATGGGGAATGGAATACTTGCATAAGTGTAGTGTTCTTCACAGAGATATTGCTGCGCGAAACTGCCTATATGACAAAGATAAAATTGTAACTCTTACTATTTGTTTGAAATGCTTAAATATTTTCTGAAAAACATTCCATATCATGCTATACAGGTTAAAATTAGCGACTTTGGCTTGTCACGACGAGGATCTACTTATAAAATGCAAACGGCAAAGAAGATGCCCATAAAGTGGATGGCGCCAGAATCCATGACTACATTTATGTTTTCGCAGAAAACTGACGTGTACAGCTATGGGGTTAGTTTTTTTCATGAGGAAAATATTTTGATGATTGGTGTAATTAAGATTTTGGTTTACGAAATATTTTCTGGTGCAGAGCCTTATGAAGGAATATCAAACTCCATGACCAAGAAAATGGTAGGTCAAGCTCTACCCTCCACTAACGGCTGGAAGAATACGAATAAAATTCGAATCCGTGTATCTTTTGTGTTCTTTCGTAGCATAGTGTTTGAGCAGTTAAAGTTCAGGTTTTCACATCAGTCGGTTCAAGCTCTATTCCAAACATAGCAATATTTATCGATCGAGTTAAATTGCACAAAGCTGCTCCAAATAGCGCATGAGGCTGCAAATTAGCTAGCGAGACATCACTAATTGCCTCCATCGGCAACCTGGAGGATTTCAAATCTTGAGAAGGTAAAATTGAAAGGAAAATGACCTATAATTTACACATTACTCAGCACATCATAGCGATTATTCTAACACCAACTGTTCGTGTATTGAATTACATTTTTTTTCTTTTTGACAACGTTAGCAAAAAAGTCCTCATAATATTCAAAACCATCACAAGCGCTTTTGT